CCCCCCCCAAAAAGAAGAAGAAGGTATAATAGGGCAGTTTAGTATAAATTTCATGTGAGCTTATATAGCATGCCATTTTTTCCACTAGTAACTGGAGAAAAGACAAAGGCAACCCTTGGTCACAATAAAGACCCTCTGAATAAGTATAACTCCCGTGTAACTTGTGTGATATCTGGATCGAAACAACCACATCACACTTGTTACCTCTTCAGAAAGCAATTGCAGATGCACAAATTCAATCCCTTTCTGCTGGCAGACACTTAATGGCCAATTGAATTTATTTATCATCCCAACCATCTCTTGACCTATCACAGAAATATTACACAACGTAAGAAATAGGATGGTAAATAGTGTATCAACTTGCTATTTTGTGTTTAGGTTAGATGAGACTAACAAAATCGTCCCAGCCTCAAGGCACTTAAGTCATCAGCATAAACAGACCTAGCTCTAGTTTGAAAAGTTAAAATACACCTTTCAAAAAAATGATATTGGCTCTTTATTCTTTTTTGTTTGATAAGAGAGGCTTTCGTCATGCCAACACAATAATCACCTCATATAGAAATTACAGAAGCTTCTACTGTGAATGACAAGAAAAAAATAGAATCGCTTTCACAAGACTTTGGGTCAGCCAGTTATATGCAGGCAAAGTTTAGTTCCCACAATACCAGTCAATAATTAACATGGAACAATGAAGCTTAGCTTTTCACTTTTCGACATTTGGGTAATGGCTTCCTTCATTAGACAAATCTACATATTCGTTATCCAAAGTCCCCAGCATACTCCATCCAAGCAAAAACATGCAGCTATTTTCCTTTAATTAAGAAATTTAACACATAAAACAAAAGAATGTAAGTAAAATAATTAACCATGTGTAATATAACACGGTTCTGCAAGGTGCAAACTGCAGATGAACACACAACAAGATATATACAAAAGAAACGGTGGCTTTACCAAGGTAGGAATGGGGGAGAAGATGCCCTACTGGAAGGGAAGGGGGGCCGGAGACAAAAGCAGACTGGGGGAGGGATCTGAAAGGATGGTCTAAGGAACCTGAGAGAGGCTAGTAAAGTAATCAGGGCAGAACAGTTAATTTTGGGATTCCATTACTATCAAACTTGGATTTTCACATGGCTGAAGTCAAGCTAGAGCTCAAGGTCGAAGAGTATTTATGGATGGAGGAAATTTTTCAATATTTATTTTGGGATTCCATTACTATCAAACTTGGATTTTCACATGGCTGAAGTCAAGCTAAAGCTCAAGGTCGAAGAGTGCTTAGGGATGGAGGAAATTTTTCAATATTTCCATGTCTGGTGGTCAAAACTTTTGGAAAATGTTTCTCTATAAAAGTAAGTTCCTTAAAATGAGGAAAATGACTTTCCTGATAGAAATAGGGAAAACAAATTCCACAAGTGACATTCCACAATAAGCACACCTCATCCCCACACTTCAGTAGCCCACCACGCCCTACCCCTATACTTCCACCCTCATCTCCCATAGTATTTTTCTATATTGTACACATTTACTTTTGAGATAATAGTACACAAGAAATAAGTAAGAAAGCCATGTATTTTGCAGGAGAACATTTTAAAAGAAATACTTTCACGGTGAACATTTTCAATTGAAATGTTTTCTTTTCATACCAAACACACCCTTGATGTTCAAATGGGTGGAGTCAAGCTAGCCCAAAAACAGAACGAAATTGAATATTAGGTGGCATCTTAGGAACATAACAAAATTGAACAGTTTCCTGAATCCTACTTCCTCTGTTTGAAAAAGTAGTCCAACTTCCCATTTTGCTCAATACCAAAACGGTGTCCATATTCCTTTGAAAGGAAGGTATAAATCATTTTACAGAAAAGGGTCACAATTTCCCTGAACGTATTGAAAATGGATCAAAATACTCTACTTACCTATTGGACCATAATTGCCCTTCACGTTATTTTAAGCACAAAATTACCCCTCGTTTTGACGGAAGCTGACATGGAATATGTGGAGCTTTTAATTGAACACATGGCACAAATTTATTGATCCTAATGGCTATAAGACCCAGCCCAAAACTACCTGACCCCATTGTAAAAGACCAATGCTTTGTATATACCATGAAAAGATAAACTTAACTCTCAGATGTCATCTTATACAAGAAAATTTCTCATGTACCAACTGGAAATGGGTGAACGAAATTGGCCTCAGCTAGAAGTACGATTGATAGTATCCACGGTGGCATACCTCAATTAAAGTTTGATGGGTTTCAATGGAAAATCAAGAAGATGCTTATCATGGAAGAAGAACCCAAGAATTATGAAGAAAATGGACTACGTGCTACATGTATTTCATGATTCAAGTTCAAGTCCAAGAGGAGGAAGATTGGTGGGGTCACATGAAGCCCAAGAGAAGGCCCACATGGACCCCAAGAGAAGCCCAAAGGAGTGCCCAACAAGAGGCTTATTTGCATGCCCAAAATGTTGAAAGTTAAAACCCTAAAACGGCTGAAATTCATGCCCAACGTAGTGCTGAAATTAGGCGTGTGAAATGGAGGGAATTTGGCCACTTTTTCCTTTCATTTTGTTAGCTTATTTTAGGAAGAATTTTGGTATTATGTTTACCTGCTTTCCTAGTTTAGAATTTTCTAATTTAAAAGTTTCCTAGATTGGTTTTAGTATTTATTATTTCCATAGAAATAGGATTTGATGGATCTCATGTTATTTGGGGAAAGATATTTTGTTATTTTTTATTAGACGTGATGAATATTATTTGAGAGGTTTATCTCATTTCCACCATTCTGTATGGTGGATATAAATTTATCTTACAACCCTATAAGAATGATTCTTTAAGAGATAAGCTTAATTCTTAATTTGATATCTTTGGTTCTTATTAGTACAAATTAAAGAAGGTAATCGGTCTCAAACTATTTATTGTCTTTAATTTCTTCGAAATATGGGTTTAGATTACCTTTTGATCTTCTTGAATTGACTTTATTAGAATCAATAGTTGTTTTTAATGCGCTAATTTGAATATTAAAATCAATTAGAGTTCTTAGCACTTAATCTTGAAATTTGAGAATTTTATTCTCGATTTTCACATATCTTTAAATTTTGTCTTTAATCTTTTTATCGTATTATTTTTTTGTTTTATTCAAGTAAACTCAATTTTAATGAAGTGGAATGACAGTGGTTCTTATCAACTTAATAATCTTGGGAGGTTCTTGATCCACCAAAAAAAAAGGTAAGCTACATATATAGCAAAAAAAAAAAAATTGCTTGAGAATTAAGATAGTTTCAAGAAACTCTGGATTTGTTTTGATTCTTGGTTTCCTAAGTCAAAGAGTCAAATCAAGAAGCGGGGGAAAAATTGAAAATAATTCTTGTAACACAAACTTGTTTTTTTTTTCTTGTTTCATCACCCAATTCGTTTGAGTTTTGGTAAATTATTTTGCTTTCTACATCTTACTTCTAAAGGGTTGTTACTAGTAGGGTTTATATATAATCTCTAAAGGATTCAGTCAAAGGTAGTAATTTGAGTGAAAAAAGGCAAGAGAGTACAAGATCAAGAGAGGGGGGGGGGGGGAGGGGGGATGCGGGGAGCCAAACTGAG